TTGCGCTATTTTACTGTGTGATTCGTTATTTGCTACACTGAAGCATTCATGGTATGAGGTGCTGCGCAAATTTAATAATGTATAGAACATGGAATTTATAGTAAACGGAAATGGCAATAATACATAATCACATATAATACATTCCTTGAGATTCGGAAAGGGAAATGAGTTTTATTTTTTGCGTAATGGATCTTATTTTTCATTTAATGATTCCACATGCACAAGTATTTCCAAGTAGTTTTTTTAAGGGAAGATATAAATACTACTCCCTGGATCTCTCTCTCTTTTTGACTCAAGTCCCTTGATCTCTTATTATCTGTCACGATGAGATTTTAGTTTGTTTAAAATCTCTTATATGCATGTTAATGCACAATTTTTTAATTGAAACTGAAAATTAAAATTTCAAGTAAATTATGCTTAAAAATCATTTTATTATTTTATATTAAATAATTTATTCTTTATTAATATCATTTATTTTGAAATAATTTTAATTATTTAATTAATTAATAGTATTAAAAATTAAAATATAAAGGTGAATTTTGTCTTGTAATATTATTTTTTATTATTTGATCTCCTAATATTTATTTTGTTGAATATATGAATCTGCCATATCCCCTTTCTTTTAATACTAAAATTAAAAAAAAAATCTTATATCCTTTAAAACTTATCTTAAAGAATCTCAATATTACTATTTGCTAATTTTTTTTTTTTAGATTCAAAACAAGGAGCCTAAATCACCATAGTTAATTTCTTCCTCAGATGAAGAACTTATTGCAAGTAAAAATAAACAATTATCCAAGAAGTCAAAAGAGGGATCATCATCAAATAAAAAAGCTCATTCAAAGAGAAAGACATCTATACAAATTTTTGACAATTCCTCAAATGAAGAGCCAATTCTAATTAATTCAAAGTTTAAAGAAAAAACAAACCAAAGAAAAAACAATTCAACAAACTAACACCAAAAAAGAAAATTACCAAATATCTATCTAAATAGTGATATGTATTCATTTTGATCTACATTCACCTCAATTTCACTCTTACAAAATTAATTTTACGTAATGTTTATTTTTGTACATAATGTCAATACTTATTTTTAATGGTTTTTTTAATGTAGAAATCTGAACACAAATTTGTAATATAATCAATAAAAAAATAATATATAATAATTGTCATATATTTATTTTATATCTTTATATTCCAAAATAATAGTTATTATATTATAAAATTTTAATTTACATATATTAAAATATTATATATAAAAAATAGGAAATTTTAATAATTATATTTCTAATGATGTTTAAGTTAAATCTGAATAATAAAAATAAAAATAATAATAATAATAATAATAATAATTTACAAATGATTGTTAAATAAATGATACACATGTATATTAAATTATATTATGATAAAATAAATGTATAAATTTTGAGAAAATATTACTTAATTATCCTAAACTTTACTTTTTTTTAAATATTTATATAAATATATATAAAAGTATAAGGAGTACCAAAATCCATATACATAAAATAACTAGAAGGTTATATTACCCTTGATTAAAGCTAATTTGAAATTGTGTAATATTAAATTGTGTTGTAATCAGGGACTCTAAAAATAGATAACATTTTAGATACAAATAATAACCCAACACCATCTAATAGTCCATTGTTTCTAATAAAACAAACACATTATGATATACATAATCGGCACCCACTACCCAACTTAAAACATTTTAGAATTAACCAACAATTCTAGCATCTTCATGGGTTGTTGGCATCTTCATGGCTTTTTGTTTAAGTTGAAGGAGCATAACCTTTTTCATCAGGCACCGCACTTCTGTTGATTCAACCTCTTTGTGTAAGATAATTGTGCCTTCCATGTTGTAGTAGTCTTTTTGAGAGTGACCCATCAATTTCAGTCAAGCACTTCATTAAATGCATAGGCTAGGGTTAATTGACCATAAGTAGAAAGGGATCTGAAAATTGCTCTGTTTTACACTTAACCACTTCCAAGTTGTGAGGGTGATATCCTTTATCAATTTTTGCTGTACAAGCTGATTTTTCCTAAATACACATGCATTTCTCTAGTTCCAGATATTCCAGGCAATGACACACCATATGACCCTCCATTTTTGTGTTTTTTCTTTTGAATCAAGAACAATTGGGATAAAGTTGAGGTGCATTATTGGATCTTTTCTAGGAGATCTGTTGTTGTATTCAACTAGAGAAAGCACTCATTATATACAACATGTATAGTTTTACAGGTTATAAGGATATGGGAGATTATCTCAGGTTGAGCATGGCAGAAAGGATAAGAGTTGTCTTCCAATGCTTTGTTCATCCTCAAAAGGTTACTAGCAATAGGTAATGCATTATGGAGAAGTCTCCATAGAAAAATAGCAACCTTAGGAAGGATAGAAATATACCAGATTTGACTAAACTTTTCAATCTATGAGCAATCCACCCTCAATGTTTGTAACTCTTTATATGCTGAGCTGATCGAGAAGGTCCTTGACAAACCTGGGTGCCAATAACAAGTGTCTTGTCTTCCTTGTGTGCAGATTGACTCTTGAGAAAAGATGTTCAAGGTCTCTGAACTGGGGAAATTCCCAATCAAACCAAATTCTACGCCATTTGAGGCCCCAATTCCACATTGAGCCAACCCAACTACCCATTTTATGATCTATCGTATCATTTTGTTGTTCAGAGTTTAAGAATGCTCTAGGTAGATGTTTTGCAAGACAATCATCCCCTAACCACCTATTTAACCAAAATCTGATTTGGTCTCCTTGTCCTACTTTCTAGATGGTTGCTTTATCAAACCACTACACTTGATTGTCACCCCTACAGACCTTTTTGAGATCTCTCCACTAGATGGAAGATGATTTATATAATTATCTTGACTATTGAGACTATGTCGGCCCTTATACTTAGAGTCCAATACACTACACCACAGATCTTCCTTTTGGAAGTCCACCTCCATGTAGACAGTAGAGCCTTATTGAAAGTAGGAATGTCTTTAATTCCCAACCTACCACATTTACTAGGCCTGCATATCTTCTCCCAACTCACCCAAGAAACCTTTTGTTGCCCTTCTTCACATCCCCACAAGAACCTCCTTTGTGGAGTCACTATTTTCTTTACCACTACACGAGGAATCTTAAAAAATGATAAATAAAAAAAAAAGGAAATGGGAAAGTGGGCCACCTTGCCTTAGACTTTTTTGAGGTTTAAATTCTTGAGTAGGACTACCATTGACTAAAACAAAAATTGAGCTTGATTCTAAACATACTGAAATCCATGCAATCCACTTGTTACAAAACCCCAACCTGTGAAACATGTATTTCGAAAAAAATCCAATTGACAGAGTCATAGGCTTTTTTGTAGTCTACTTTAAAGAACAAACAACTTTTCCTTTTTTTTTTCCTCATCAAGGACCTTGTTAGCAACTACCACACTATGTAGGAGACTAGGAGGTTTCTTCCTTCTAGAAAAGCACTATGGTTTTTATCTATTATTGTTGGGAGTACCTTCTTTAGTCTGTTTGCTAAAACTTTAGCAAGAATCTTGTACATGCTATTAACTAGAGAAATGGGTCTAAAATCTCCCAAACACTATGGGTCATCAATCTTTGGGATAAGAGTAATAAATGAAGAACCAATTCCTTTTGGAAGCTTGCCTTGTACTTGAAACTCCACCAGAAACTAAGGAGGACCAGAACTCCTTTAGAAATTTGAAATTGTAACCATCAGGGCTGAGGCTTTTTGCACTACCACATTACCACACAACAGACTTAATCTTAGTTTCAGTAAAGGCTGAGACTAATTCTGCACTCGTTGTTGCTGAAATACACTAGAAATTGACCCCATCCAGTTGAGGTCTTTGTCTTTGATGATCACAAAATATATCTTGAAAAAACCTTTTTACTTCCTCCTTAACTACCTTTGGTTCTTCCACCCAAGATCCCCCTACATTTAATCCCCTTAGGTTATTTTTCCTTCTCCTCCAATTCACCCTTGTATGAAAGTACTTTGTATTCAGATCCCCTTCGAACAACCATGTTGTTATTAACTTTTGAGATAAAAGGGATTCATTGCGCACTGCTACATACCAGAAATTTTCTATTAATTTTGCTCTCTTTTGTGCCTCAGCATAGATGATTTTGCTCTCTTCTGTGCCTCAGCATAATTCAAACCAGTTGTTTCCTCCTTTAGATTCAACTCATTTAGCTCAACGATAATGCTCTTCAGCGAGTTCTGTAGATTACCAAAATTTGATACTTTCCACTTTTTCAGTTGTTATTTGAGCAACTTCAATTTTTCTTTTAAAATGTAAGCACCCCAACTAGACACTCGTAAATTTCTCCATATATACTTGTTCAACAAATCTCTTAAAATTTTTATCATTAAACCAGCGGTCTAAAATTCGAAAAGATTTCAATCCTCAATGTTGTATGACATTCTTTAACAAGATAGGGCAATGGTTAGAAATATTTCTATCTATTTATTATTTGATAAATTAATCCTCAATCTAGGACTATTTGATAAATTAATTTTTAAACCTTTTATATTTAAAAATATTTATTTATTTTTATTTATTCAAGCCAAAAGGCCATCGGAATCATGTTCAGCAACCAAATACCAATAAAACAAAACGTCACATGAAATATCCATCTTCTACGTACTGTTGAGGGAAAAAGCAAAAGAAAATTAAGAAAAGTTATTGGATTTTTAGACTTAACTTTCCTTGAAGATATATATATACACTTGCACTCCGCGTGGAGGAGTATTGTATTGAACTCGTGCAACACAAGTTTTTCACCGGCAAGTTGGGCAAATTATTAAGGATATTATAAAAAATATTGAATGCTTTATTGTTTTATTTTTGTAAAACATCAATTAATTAATTTTGGACAATTTTTTTTACCAACTAAAACGTCCTATAAAATGGGAAGGGGAGGGGGAGGGAGTATACTATTTTATTTCTCTTTTGGTACCACTGGTACCTTTTTAATGAAAATTTTCTTAGCCGTTCAAAAAAAAAAAAAACTGCAATGTTGCCCCTCCTCCGTCAGCAACCCCAACATCCCTCCCTCTCACTTTCTTCGACTTTTCCTTGCTCAGGTTCTCTCCCATTGAGTTCATCTTCTTCTATTCCCTCCCACACCCTTCCAAACCAAGTGGTTCCAAATCTCAAAACCTCTCTCTCTCACACCCTCCACCACTTCCTCCCTCTAGCTGGCAGCGTCGTTTGGCCTTCCGATTCCCCAGCACCCTTCGTCCAATACACCCCCGGTGACGTTGTTTCCCTCGTGGTTGCAGAATCTGACGCTGACTTCGACCACTTAACAGATTACTCGCCTCATGAAGCTACACTGTCTCGTTCTTTGGTACACCACTTGGACTCATCCGATTCTCGTGCTTCTGTTGTCTCTCTTCAGATCACTCTCTTCCCAAACAAAGGCTTCAGCATAGGCGTCAGTGCCCACCATGGGGTCCTTGATGGAAAATCTTCAACCCTTTTCGTCAAGGCCTGGACTTCTCTATGCCAAGCCAACAATGAAAATGAAACACAAAAACCATCTTTGGTGCAGGGGTTGGAGCCTTTCTTTGACAGAACAGTCATCAAAAAACCAACGCATTTGGGAGATAACTACACAGAATACTTGACTAGCTTCTTCTCCAAACTCTTCCCTGGTGAAAACAGCAACCCTCGGTGCTTGAGGATTCTACCTTTCCTTCCCAGACTCAAGGGCACGGTTCGAGCCACGTTTGCTCTCACGCGAGGGGATTTGGAGAAGATAAAGAAAAGGGTCTTATCCAAGTGGGATGTAGTGGAAGAATCTGATTCAAAGCCACCTACTTTATCATCCTTTGTTCTCAGCTACGCTCATGCCCTAGTTTGCATGGCAAAAGCGATTCACGGGGTTGAAAGGGAGAAACAAAAGTTTTCCTTTGCTTTCCCGGTGGATTGCAGGGCCAGGTTGGAGCCTCAAGTGCCTAGTAACTACTGTGGCAACTGTGTGTGGTCGCATTTAGTGGATGCAGAACCCTTGGACTTTATAAAGGAAGAAGGGGTGGTGATTGTTGCCAAGAGCATTCATAGAAAAGTGAAGAAGTTAGGTGAACAAGCTTTTAATGGGACTTCTGGATTCGCTGATTTGGCGAAAGAGGGGGTTCAAACGATAGGAGCGTCAATGTCTAACAGATTTGGGTTTTATGGGACTGATTTTGGTTGGGGAAAGCCTGCTAAGGTGGAGCTAACATCAATGGATAGAGGTTTATCCATTGGGTTGGCAGAGGGTAAGGATGGGAGTGGTGGGGTTGAGGTTTGCCTTGTTCTGAATAAACATGAGATGGATCTCTTTGCTGCTCTATTTCGTGAAGGACTCTGAGATGATTCAATGATTCTGAGTTCTTAAAACATGCATATGCCTTATGGAGATTTGAGTTTGAATTGGAGAAAGAGCACAAGCATGCATGCATGCTGTTTTGCTGTACAATTGCAACATATGATCACTTGCTTTTATTTATCCTTTTTTTTTTGTCAATAATTTCTAGTGCAGTGCTGTTCCACGAAATCATCAAATCACGATGTATTTGTACCGGTATTTGTTGTTTTCATTTTAAATAATATTTTAGTTGGTTTGTATTTTTATCTAATTTATTTTTAAATAATATTTTTTAATATATAAATTTTATTCAAAATATAGAAATAAAATAGGCTTCTCAACAAAGGAAGGAAAAATATAGAAAACAAAATCAAAAATCAAAATAACCTTTTTTATAAATTAAAATTAAGTTATGTGTAAGTTAAAAATAAGATTTTAGAAAAATAATAACATATAGATTTTACAAATTAGTTTATGTATAAATAAATTTTAACTTATGAAGAAATTTATTTTATTTTATTTTCTTATTTTTCTCTATTAATTAAAAAATTTTCCGAAGAAATTTATGCAAATAGATTCTTAGTTTCTATACTGCTAAAAATGGTAAACATCGCTAAAGGTCACTGGCATGTCGTTGATGCGTGTTGAGTTACTTTTAAGTTTTAATTAGACGTTATATTTTCATTATTTTTATATTTTGGTCTCTATACTTGCACAATTATTTTATTTTTTTAATCCCTACACTTAAAAAATATACTCATTTTAGTTCTTATGTGACTGTAGTTTTTTAGTTTCTTTCTTCTTTCTCCTCCTTTTATTTTGTGAATTTTATTTCTTTTAAATTCTCTTACATTAACTAATTTTTATTGACCTTAAATTAAATAAGTTTGAGGCTATGTGTTTATATACATTTATCTGAATTAAATAATTTTGAGGCTATAGTGTTTATATACATTTATATGATATATAAGATGACATGGCTTCCATGTAATAATTTGTGTTGAGACTCATTATAATGACAAAAACTTTTGCTTTGTTTAAATTTTGTAAGGTAAAACATTTGGGTATATAATGCATCTAACCCCTTGTTGCATCATTTTAATCATTCTAATTTTGCTACAACAAATACTTGAGTATTTGTGTCACATTATATGAATAGTTTTTTATACTTTAATATTTATTATTATATCGGATAGATTATTTGGCCACTAGAAACCACCAAGATCGAGCTCTCTCGGTATCCTCGATAGTCGAAGGGATTGTATGACTAAAATCCTTAACTCATTATTTCGACACTCTCGACAACTGAATAGATCATGTAAACTGGTGTGACTCTTAGGGATCGCATGACTGAAATCCTTAAAATACCCCTTCGACACCCTCGATAGTCGAAAGGATCATGCACCCCTTTGGCGCTATTGACAGCCAAAAGGATTGGAGACGAATCAACTCTTTCGAAAGCGCTAATAAGGCCAAACGACATGTAAAACCCCTCAATTATTCTAATCAAGGTAATTAAGGTTAATCATTGGTATGAAATCAATTATCAACGTGATTTATATTAGAGCAGGTCGATCCAATCGGCCGTGAGTTATGATTTTACCGTGCTTGTTTGGTAGACAGAGTCTATAGTTTTTAGCGATTGAATCCAAGGAGGTTTTGAATGTTTTGATGAAAGGCCAAAGTGTGCATATTTGTTACCATCTCCAAGTGCATGGTGAAGCTTAAATATTACACTGCTAGATGCATCATTTGTGGGGTAATTGATAATGTGAATTTCCCATAAAGGTCTGCTTTGTGATAATTGCTCCATTGCTATGCTTGATAAGTAATCATGAAAATGTTTGTCATATGATTCCACTGTTTTGCCTGAGGGGAATATGGGAAAGTGGACATGGTCTTTCAAATTCACATCAACTTGCTTCCATCGTTTGCAGTTTTATTGTGCCAGTACAAGTATTATATTGACAGAGTATTATATTGATAGAGTTGGATTTTATGATCTTCATAAAAGTTGTAGTCTTAGAATGTTATTTTTTAAGGGCACCAAAATTAGGTACAATGGAGATCTAGAACTTCCGATATGACTATTTTAGTGAACAAAGGTCTAGCTGTTAGCGTTGATTATATCTATTACAATTTTTTTGAAATTTTTAGCTAAGTATATGATCATTTTAGAATTTCAAGTCTTCATAAGAGTGATAGCTTATCATGTTAGCTTTCTTTTGGTAATAGGTTTGAGATCATTTGGTGATAGCCTGTATAATTCTCTGTGTATCATTTTCTTTGATAGTTGTTAAAGGAATATATATGTTATCATGATGTTTGTGAGTTATTAGGAAATTGATTTTATTCTGATATTCTGAAGTGTTGTCTTGTGGATTAAAAGTTTCTTTAAGGTTGTATGATGTTATGTGGTAAAGGTTGTTCCTGTACAGGCTATAGGAGTAAACGGTAATTGATTCATACATGCTTAAGGATGGTATATATGAAGGGTTAAAGTAGGTATTCTAATATGATTTGATATTCATGTATGTTGATATGTGGATAGATGACCTTAGAGATCAATTAATGAATATTTGTGTGTTTAATGAGATTGACCTTAGGATGTGATATCATCATATTGGAATTGAGGGTGAAAATATATTTAAGACAACTTTACGCCAAGCTATTTAAGTATGAATTTCTATTGTATGAAGTGAATTTTCTAGGTTTTGTAATTTCTAATGGAGATATAATGTAGATCTATTTATGATAGAAGTTGTGTTTAAGTAAGAGATACCTAAGTCAATTAGTGAAGTTAAGAGTTTTCTTGCATTAACTTATTAATATAGGAGATTTATTGAGGAAATTTCTAAGATAACATTACTTTTGTCTGGATTAACCAAGAAGAGAGAGTTGCCTTTATGGAATAGTAAGTGTGAAAGTAGTTTTCAAACTCTTAAGGAAAGATTGACTAGTGTTAAAATTATCGGACTCTAGTAAGTCTTATGTGTTATATAGTGATGCTTCGAAGACGGGTTTGAGTGGATTATTGATGCAAGAAGGAAAGGTAGTAGCTTATATTTCTAGGCATCTAGTTATGGAAAATTCATGAGAAAAAATTACCTTACCCATAACCTTGAATTAGAGATTGTAATATTTACACTTAAGATTTTGGAGACATTACTGGTATGATTCTAAGTTTGAGATATTTAGTGATCATAAGAATCTTACATATCTGTTTGATCCAAAGGAGTTGAATATGAGACAGAAGAGCTAGTTGGAAACTGTTAAGGATTAAAATTTTAATCTTAGTTGTTATTTGGAAAAACCCAAGGTGGTGGTCGATACTTTGAGTAGGAAACCTCTATATATATCTCCTCTTATGGTTAAAGGGATGTATCTTTTAGCTCACATTAGGAAGTTAAGTTTGACTTGTGAAATTACTCCTATTAGTGTGAAATTAGGTATGACTCGAGTAAAAAAATAGACTATTTAAGGAAAATTAGAGAAACATAATTAATTGATTCATTTTGATGGCAAGACATGAGACCACAAGACAAGGTAGTATATATGAGGTTGCCTTGGGTATAGATAGGATGGTAAGACTTAGAGATTGATTATATGTACTTAGTTAACTTATGCTTAAGTACTTGATTCTTGGAGAGGGTCATAAAAATTAAAGTAATATGGTGACAAATGCCTTAAGTAGGATGGTCATTTATCTATCATTTTTGATAATGTAAGGGTTGAATTTGATTGAAGAGATTAGAAACTTAAGCGTGATGTGTAAGCTCACCCTTAGGAGCATTGAATTGAGTATGTTGAAAGGACTAATAGATTAATAGATGTGATTAGAGGACCCAGGAGTTAAATCCTTTCTTAGTGAGCCAAGTGGAAAAGATTGATAGAGGTATAGATAGCCCTTTACGCTTGGAAGTTGATGGTGTTTTGAGATTCAAAGATAGAATCTATGTGCCTAGTAATCTCGAATTAAGGAAGATGATGATCTTAGAGGAAAGACATAAAAGTACTTTTAGTATTCATTTAGGAGATATTAAAATGTATCAGAATGACACAGCGGAAGCGTGATGGTCTAAGGTGAAAAGAGAAGTAGAGGAGATGGTTAGAGTTTCTTAAAGATTATGACTTCCAATTGAATTATCACCCCGGTAAGGCGTATGTTGTAGCTGACACTTTAAGTAGAAAATTTTTTAGAGTGTTTTCTTTGATGATTAGGGAATTGCTTATGATTGAGGAGTTTAGGGATATAAACTTAGGGTGTAAGTTGACCTCTAAGAGTATTAAGTTGGGAGCTTTGAGAGTGACTAATAGCTTGATAGATGAGATTAAAGAAGGTCAGAAGATAGATGAGTCAAGTAAAGAAGTTGAATCAAAAAGATGTTTTGGTGGCCTAAGATGAAGAAGGAAGTGAAGGAATTTTTGTATGCTTGCTTAGAAAACTAGGTAGAACACCAAAAACTTTCAAATTTATTGCAACCTTTAGACGTCCTAATTTGGAAATAAGATTTTGTATCTGTACTTACACGAATCAGGTCGGACCCTTAATTCGGATAAGTCGTCTCCCTGGCTTTGGTCTTACCGAGCTCCCACGAAATTGGTTGCTAGGGTGATCTTCTCTTCTTCGGTCTCCTCGTTCGAGCGTCTTGGAAGTACCTACAAAAAGGACTCTGAAGATCAAGTCAGTTGCCTTTTCCAATATCGTGTATTGCTTATATCGTTACCTATCGTGGTCTCCCGAGTAACCGTGGTGTAACTGCTGTATGGTTATCTTCCGAGAATCCTCCTCGGTTAAGTCATGTTCAATGTTGTTAATGTGCCGAGGTTGCCGAGGTGTATCGCCAATCTCCCTTATTTCATGTGACACCTCAGCGTTAAACGTATACTTTAGTTTGACTAAATGATCACCTCGGTCAGGATTGTCTAATGAGCTCGGTTGAGCTCGGCCTTGAGCTGGGGTGGTACATAAGCCCCCCAAGCTCTAAATGATGGAAGAATGCAAGAGCTGATAAAAATAAGTGGAGGATGTCGAACTTCCGAGAAGGGAAGCTACGCAAAGAGTCACGGGTTTTCAGACTAGAGAGTGACGCGTGTAATGGGTGAGGGAATGTAACGTTAGAAGGCTAACAGCTGTAGCCTGGGGAAGCGCGAAGGGGTACGGCGCGTAATCATTAGAATTAAGTGTGAAGGGACAAGTCATTTAAGGCAGGGGATTTAGGGCCGCGGGAAACTCTTTAGTGAAGGGTCGTGGCTCTCAATGAGAAAATGAAAGGGTGCGATGGAGTATATATATATGTACGAAGGAGCCTTAGAAATCTTTTTACTGTTACTGTTCTTAGAAGAAAGTGTTGAGGCGTATTTGGCGTAAACGTAGCAGGGAAGGTGGGTTGCAGAGAATAGGATATTCAAGTGTTTGAGTTCCTCAAGAGCCTACGGACTCCAGGTATCAAGCGTTATTTTTTGAACTTTTTGTTGTGATTTGGTTGGAAAGGGGTGTGGTAGGATGGGTAAGGCGAAGGGGAAAATCACGAATAGTAACAGAGGTGAAGCGAGTGTGCCAAAGAGGGGTGGGAATAACAGGAAAGACTCGCACCCAAAAATTATGGTGACTGGTTATGAATGGGTAAGAGGGGATGTGGGCAAGTATGAAAGTAGGGTTAGGGGTGAGATGGAGGCGAGTGTGTTACAACATAAGGTAAAATTTTGCCTTCCTCCATACCTAGAACAACTCTCGATTGAACCGTGTTCCACAGAGGAACTTATATTTTTCAAAGTGCCGACATCTCCCTTGTATATATACATGTATCAATGTGTGTTTAGGGATTTAGGAGTAGTAGTCCCGTTCACCCCTTTTGAATGTGAGTTCCTAAAAAAGATTAATGTAGCACCAAGTCAGCTACATCCCAATAGCTAGGGATTTCTGCGTGCTTTTCAAATTTTGTGCTCGATAATGGGAATGAATCCGAGTTTGGGAACTTTTATGCATTTTTATCAATTGAAATTGGGGGAGCCACCCTTCGGGTGGATATCGCTGAGTGGGAGTTCGAATGGGGGGTTGTTTCAAATCTTTTCTCAGTCATATAAAAATTTTAAAGAGGGGTTTTTTAAAGTGCAATGCGTGCATAATGATGCAAACTCAGACTCAATTTTCCACTCGAATGGTGAACCAAAATTTCCGCTGAGTTGGCAATCAGAACCGATGAGGTTCTCTGGTTCGGAAGGTTTAACATTGTCGGATGAAGAGAAGAAGGATATAGAGAGATTGGAAGGGCTAACTCGACCCTTAGAAAGCAAAGCGATCCTGTTACTTGCGGGGTCAAAAAATCCGCGAGAGGACTTAAAGAGTAAGTATAATAAAATAAAACCTGAACTTGATTGAAAGTATGTGCAAAACTGAACGTATTTTGTGTTGCTATAATGTGCAGGTATCATGGTTAGGAGTAAATGGAGAGAGTTGAAAGCCAAGCATGGGGAAAAGGAATTAGAAGTTATTAACGTGGAAGGAGCGAAGGAAAAAGAGAAGTTGGAGACAAAGAAGAAAAAGCAAAGAGTTGGTGATAAGAATGCGGACACTAGTGGTCCGAAGTTGATCCAAACTGAAGTTGGTGTAGGAGAGAAGGATGCTCGTTTAAGTCATCCGACTGAGGAATCAGGTCGGCCAGTCATTGCGAGTGTGACTATGCCGAGTTCCTCAACATCGGATGCTGGTCACCAAAAGGGGAAGAATCCAACAGTGGTGATTTTGGATGAAGAAACAGTAAGTGGTTTCATGTTTTTTTTTTTTTGAAAGTATAATCATTATGTTGATGAAAATAACATATATAGAACTGAGTTACTCTTTGCGTTGGCAGGCATTGAAGTCGAAAGAGATAACCGATTCGATCTCCTCAGATGAGTCAATGTCAGAACTTCAAAAAGAAATTGCGCAGCTCGGCTTCTCCTCCCTGATACCACAGGGAGGATCATCCCAAGGTGGCCAGACAAGCCGACCTCGGTCAATACACCAGAGATATGATTCTAATCATCCGTTAGAGAGATTAGATCATGTGAGTATGTCTCCAGATGTCACCTCGTTCTGGAGTGCCAAGCTAACGGCAGATGCATTTTATAAAGAGGATCGTGCGCACATTGCTGATAAGGCGCTGATTGAGAAGGTGGGTCCTGTTGAGGGATTAGATTCAGTGGAAGTGTTTTTGCAAAGGTCGATTGCAGTAGTGGATCACTGGAAGAGGAGATGGAAGAAAAATATAGAGCAAATGGATAAGCTGAAGGCAGAGAATGTGAAGGTCGGATCGTTGTGTGCTGAGTTGAATGATGTGAAGGGAAATTTTGCTGAAAACAACAAGGCGTTTGAAATATCCCTGCGCTCCAACAAATCCTACTCAGCAAAAGTAGAAGAGCTTCTGAGTAAAGTGAAAAAGGTAGAGGAAGAGAAAGAGCAAAAGGAAAAAGAGAATGCTGAGTTGAGAGCAAAAGTCAAAGAAAATAGTGAAAAGGAGAAAGAAAATGCTGAGCTGAAGAAGAAGTTGGAGGAACAAAAGCGTCTGACCTCGGAGTTGCACGAGGAGTTCCAAAGGTTAAGAGAGCAGAATAAAGCTTGTCAGGAAGTGATAGCGGCTGATGTGGAAAAAGCCACGGACTTGGAAAAGAAAAATAATAAGTTAAGTAAAGATCTGGAGAACCTGGAGTTGCATGTAATGGAGGAGCATAAGAAAGGATTTGCCAAGGCTCTACGACAAATCAAGATAGTGCTCCAGGAATCAATCTTCGTGATCTAGACGTCAACAAGGATGTGTGGGATGGAAAATTGATCAACGAAGACGATATGCCTGATGATGTTAGTGGTGAAGACTGATGGGAAAGAATAAGTATTGTAATAGTGCGTTGTAGGAGTTATATGAGATACCTTTTGCTTCTTGGGAAGCCGATTATTAAGTTTAATGTGACAAGTTTGACTTCTATTTGTCTTTTATGTGGATATATAGGAATTTGTAAGCTACGAGTTATAACTCTTTCGATGATGTGAGGTAAAATGAATCACATAAAACGTATCACATAAAACGTATGTAACAGTAATATAATCGTAAGGGGTTAGAATTGGGTAACCTTTGTTAGGTTGAAATTGAGTAACCTTTATTAACTCTGGCTCAGACTTGGCCAAATGTGTTGAATAATTTTACTATTAACATTGGCTCAGACTTGGCCAAACACGTTGACATAGGCTCAAACTTGGCCGGCTGTAATTGAGTAGCTATAAGGCTCAAACTTGGCCAATATGAGTTACATCAGCTCAGACTTGGCCGAATTGAATTGAGTAACTATGAGGCTCAGACTTGGCCAATTTTAGTTACATTGGCTCATACTTGGCCGAGTTTGTTAATATTGAATGAATTTCCAGTAATTCCTGGGGCAAAGGCTGTAAAAGCTAAATGGAATGAGAGAGTAAGAAATAAGTCAAAAGAGGAGAGAATGTCTATTATAAGATTGGATATCCATGTCAATTACATCTCTCCTACTGCCCTAGGTATGCCTCGTTAAAACCCCTTCAGCCAAAACCCCTTTTTTTTATCTGGGAAAAAAGACTGAAGTGGGAAAAAGAGTACAATACCTGGGTTTACACATTTCAGCTATAATAGAATTTCAAATGAGTAGCGTTCCAAGTTCTTGGGATAACTTTTCCATCCAATTCTATCAGTCTATATGCACCATTGTGCAAACATTCCGAGATTCAGAAAGGGCCCTCCCAATTAGCTGCGAATTTCCCCGTTGACGTGTCTTTTCTAGCTTCTCCGACAGCTCTCCAAAAAAAGTCCCCTTCTCGGAATGATCTCGGCTTAAGCTTGGAATTGTATCTCCGAGATGCTCTGAGCTTGCATGCCTCCTCTTGAACTCGGGCGCACTCTCTAGTTTCATCTATGAGGTCGAGATCAGTTCTCAAGGTTTTTGTATTTTGAGTTGTATCAAAAGTTAGCCGTCGGTGACTCGGCTCCCCGACCTCTACAGGTATCATAGCATCAGACCCATAAGTTAACTTATATGGGGTTTCTTGAGTGGTAGACTGTAGTGTGCAATGATAGGCCCATAAAACGCCAGGTAGCTCTTCCACCCATTCTCCTTTGGATGAGCCAAGTCTTTTTCTGAGTTCTCTAAGGATAACCTTATTGGCAGCTTCAACTTGTCCATTTGTTTGTGGGTGCTCAACCGAAGTAACTTTGTGACTGATTCTGAGCTGCCTTAAGAATTGCTCAAACTTTTTGTCAACAAACTATTTTCCATTATCAGTGGTTATGACATGAGGTAAGCCATATCTACAGATAATTTTTTTCCATGTAAACCTTTGGACATTGGCTGATGTGATCTTAGCGAGGGCCTCAGCTTCGATCCATTTTGTGAAGTAATCGATGCCAACTAATAGAAACTTTAGTTGACCTTTGGCTACTGGAAAAGGACCAAGGATATCCATCCCCCACCAAGCAAAGGGCCATGCTGACTGCATCGAACGTAGAGTTGTGGGAGGTAACTGGTGTAGATTGTCGAAATCTTGGCAGGCTTTGCATTTCTGCACATATGACTTATAGTTTGATCTTATAGTTGGCCAGTAGTATCCAGCTCGGATAACTTTGGCTACCATGGACCGAGCTCCAGAATGCATGCCACAAATTTCGCGGTGGATCTCATCCATTACATAGTTGGCTTGATCTGTGTCTAAGCATTTAAGGAGAGGCATGGAGAAGCCTTGTTTGAACAATTCATCCGCTTCAATTGTAAAGTGGCATGATTTGTTTTTAACTTTGGAAGCTTCGACTTTGCTATCCGGTAAGATCCCATCTTTAAGATATTTCCAAATGTCGGCCATCCACCCTGCTGATATGAGTTGTTGGCAAAAATTGCTGTAACTTGGAAACTAGGGGCGGCTATAGTTTCTTGAATGATGGTCTTATGTTGGCCAGGGCGCTTAGTGCTAGCGAGCTTGGATAACAGGTCGGCCCTTTCATTCTGAGCTCTTGGGATGTGCTCAATCTAGAAACTAGCAAAGAAAGATGTCAGCTGAGATACCATAAGATTGTACCTTTGAAGTTGGGGTTCCTTAGTCTGATATCTTCCTCCTACTTGTTCGGTGATCAGCTTGGAATCACTGCAACATTTTAGCCTTTTCACACCAACGTCTTTGGCCAATGTTAAACCTGCCAACAGAGCCTCATATTCAACCTGATTATTAGTAGCTTTGAAATCAAATTTTATAGCAAGTTCAAGCATCATGTCGTTTGGTCCTTCAAGAATAATGCCAGCACCGCTGCCTTTCACATTGGAAGATCCATCCACATGCAAGGTCTAGATTTGTTCATCCATTGGTGGAACGGGGGTGAGCTCGGCTACAAAGTTGGCCAGAGATTGGGCTTTTAGTGGTCCTCGACTTTCATACTTTATGCCATACTCGGAGAGCTCGACTGACCAGGTTATCATTCGCCCGGCCAAGTCAGGCTTTCTGAGTATCTGCTTGATAGGGTAATCCGACTTCACAATAATTTGATGACTTTGGAAATAGGGACGAAGTCGGCGAGATGAAACTACCAATGCCAAGACCAGCTTCTCTATGGTCTGATATCACCTCTCGGTATCTTGTAATACCCGGCTGATGAAGTATATGGGAGTTTTCTTTTTGTCATTCTCTTGTACCAGTGCTGAGCTAATAGCGTTGTCGGCCACTATAAGGTATAGTAGAAGATCAGCTTGGTAGGTCGGTTTGGATAAGATGGGGGGAGCTGACAAGAATTGCTTGAAGCTGGTGAAAGCTTGTTCACATTGGTCACTCCAACAGAATTCTTTTGGCTTTTTGAGTAGATGGAAGATAGGCTTGGCCTTTTCTGCCAGCTTCGGAATAAACCGAGATAGTGAAGCAAGTCTTCCTGCCAACCTCTGTACCTCTTTGTGATTTTTGGGACTTCTCATATTGATCAATGCCTGACATTTGTCAAGATTTGCTTCAATGCCACTACAAGTAATCATGAATCCCAAGAATTTGCCTCCATGAACTCCGAAAACACATTTTTCGGGGTTTAATCTCATGTTGTGCTTGCGGATTTGCTTGAAAATCTCCTCCAGATCTCAGACATGATTGTCAGGGGACTTTGTCTTGATGACCATGTCGTCAACATACACCTCGAGATTACGGCCGATCTGATTGGCGAAGACCTTATCCATGAGTCTTTGGTAGGTGGCTCCTGCATTCTTGAGTCCAAAGGGCATGACATGGTAACAATAATTGGCTTGTTCCGTGATAAAGGCAGTGTGCTCCTCATCTGGAGGGTACATCAAGATTTGGTTATACCCCGAATAAGCATCCAGAAAACTGAGCATAGCATACCCTGAAGCTCCGTCCACCAATCTGTCAATACTGGGAAGTGGGTAAGCGTCTTTTGGACAAGCCTTATTCAGATTGGTGTAATCAAAACACATACGCCATTTGCCATTGGATTTTTTAACCATTACCATATTGGCTAACCAGGTGGTGTATTTGATTTCTCTGATGAACCTAGCGTTCAGAAGCTTTTGCGTTTCGGCCTTGACAGCTTCTCTTCTTTCGTCGCCAGTCTTTCTTTGCTTCTGAGATATAGGTCGTGCCTCTCTATGGATAGCTAACCTATGACAAATGAAATTGGGATCTATCCCAGGCATGTCTACACTACTTCATGCAAAGAGATCAGGATTTTCAGTAAGAATTGTCATGATTTTACCTTGGACATCAAGATCAATGTGCTTGGCAATCTTGGTGCACTGGTTTGGCTTCTTGCCGATCTGAAATTCAATCAACTCGTCAATGGGATTAGGCCACTAATCATGCATATCGATTCGGGGATCTAAGTCAGTCATTTCCCTTGCACCAATGTGAGCAATGATAGAGGAAGTTGGCACCTCAGGTTGACGATTTGGGGGTGTAATCTTCAAACTTTCAGCGTAGCATTTTCTTGCAATTTGTTGATTGGCTTTTACAGCTATTATGTGTCCATTTGTGCCTGGGAACTTCATAGTTAGATGAGGCGTTGACACAACTGCTCCTAATTGATTCAACGTTGGTCTCCCGATAAGGATGTTATAAGAGGTGACAGCGTCAACCAACAAATATTTCACCAGGATTCTCCTTGAGTTCTGAGTTGTACCAAAAGATGTTAGTAATTCAATGAAACCACGAGTATGAACTCGCTCACCTGCGAAGCCGACGAGAGACTCGGAGTATGGTTGAATCATGTTATGAGGAATGTCAAGCTTCAAGAAGGTCGGCCAATATAGAACATCGGTGGAACTACCTTGGTCAATCAACGTTTTTTGGACTTCCCAATTGGCCACCTCGACTGAGATGACCATTGGATCATCTTGGTTCAAACTGATACCTTCATAGTCCTCATCCGTGAAATAATAGGAGGGGTTGGTGTTTCTGACTTAGATCCCGAGTTATGGCAATTGCTGACGTTTTGGACAGTGCGTAGATGTCGCTTCCTGGCCGAGTTGGAACTTCCTCCTCCTGCAAACCCTCCTGAGATGGTGTGGATAACTCCACGTATGTTGTTTCCTTCTGAGGATTTGTCCATATGTTGAGGATCAGCGCTGTTTGTGCTTGGTTTGCTTTCCTCGCGTGTATTTGCTTGATGATACTGACCTTGTTCAGATCATCCTTGATAATTCTGATATCGTCCTTGATATCGGCCAGGAAATCGGCCACGTCCCCTTCCGCGTCCTCGGAAGCCCCCGCGAGAAGCTTGGCCGCGTTGGATATATTGTC